GTGAATCCTGAACGATCGTCCCGCCCATATATGCCGAAAAGAAACATTCAGCCATATCAACACCACCCTGGCGTCACTCCACCGACTTTATGGCCAACTTTGTAGAATACCTGTGTCTTAAAACGCTCTTGACTTTTTGCCTGGCGTTTGTAGCACGAGTGTTTACCTCGCGGTTGTTAGACGAGGAGTGTACACAGTGGCCATGTAAACACAATGAACGACCCTTGTTTACTGGTATATTCCTTACAATACCATCACCTCCTTTGGCGCTATGAACCGACTGTTTGGCTTCAACCGCAGTGCTAATGGAAATCGTCGTGGCGCTGCAAGCCACGTCCCCCCCGCTGGAAATGGTTCGGGTGCTCTTTCTCCGGGGCAAACGGCAACCGTCAACACTGAGTCCGTTGATGGAAACCCCATTAATCGTCGCAGACGCAGAGCGAGCCAAGAACATATCGACGCTCGCTACGGACGCCCTAGGTTGCTGGTTGACGACCTCTTGGATGTGATTGACTCTAACCTTCCCACTGACAATTACTTGACATACAATCCTTCGACCATCAAGGAATTGCTTGCATACTATGATGATGGTGAGAGGCTCATCCAAAGTATTGATAGGATTTACCGATCAGCTCGTCGGCTGCACCCGAATGTTGAAGAGCCGGGCTTAGTTCATCTCATCTCAACTCGGATTGTGTTGAGATATGGACTCATGCAAAGCTCCACCTTCAAGGCAAGGCTGCTTTTGATGACCTGTAAGACTATTGAACAGGTCAAGCAGTGGGTGTACACCAATGACTTGTACAACATGAAGGCTTTCATGTTCAAGCGTTATGCTTTGGCCCATCCGAGAGATGTTGAATTGACGCCCTCACCTGATATGTATTGGACGAACAGTGCCAACACTTTCATTGATGTCATCTATTCAAGAGTAGTGGCGATTTACGACAGCACGTCGTGTCTCAAAATTCATAACGCTTTGATCTCTTATTTAAAGACTGCCAACCCCAACTGGGCTGAGTCATACCCGCTTGAGGATCAGTTGCCAACACTTAAGGTATACTACGATGAACCCAGAACCGTGCCTACCCAATTCCCTGGAAGACCTGAGAGTGAACATGAGACTACTGACCCTAACATTGAGGGCATTGCTTCAATACATCTTGGCCCGAACATCAAGGGCATAGTTTCCGAACAACTTGAGGGCATTGATTTCTCCGTTTTTGAAACCTTGTCAAGCGATTACCTCCAAGATCCCGGCAACATAAAGAAATTGGTTAAGCGATTTGACACTGGCATTAAAGTGATGTCATCGCTTTTGAGGATTTTTGACACCGTTGTTGCAGGTCAGCCTAAGTTTAATCTGACCCAAAGCGAGGGCGTTGCCAGGGCATTCGAAGAGAAATCTGGACTCACTCATCACCCCACCAGTAACCTGGCTGAGATGTTGTATTCGTGCACGAAGCGCCTGCAGTACATGAAATGGTGCTTCATGTTTCTCATTACCCCGTGGGCCATATGGGCAAAGATATACGTGTATTTCAACCCTGGGTTGATGGATGCTGGTGACCGTACATTAACCAAGCTCTGGTTTGATCACAATAACGTGCCGTTTTTGCTAGACTATGATGACTTTTTTATGGGTATTGCCAAGTGTGAAACGTGGCCGACGTGCTCGACGAGCGCGGCTAACGTCATCTGGAAGTTGATGTCGAATGTGGAACGCTGGTGGGAACCGCGCATGTCGTCGAAATCTTTGAAGTTACTTGACAATATCATCACGCGCATCGATCGTATTGACAACTTAGAACTTTACGACTATGAGCAACGTTGATCTGAGGCCGATGAGGGCGCTATTCTGATATGGCGTCCAACAAGATAAGTTGAATTTGATTAATTATGAGACATATGAGCAATGATAAAGAGTTTTATTGAGGGTAACAAATCGTGATCTGGTTAAGTTAGCCATATAAATTGTAACGTAGCTCACGGTAGCACCAAAAAACCGTCTCTAAGTTTCAAGGGCATGAGTATGGTTCCAACCAAAATTCAACGAGTGTTATCACTAATGGTGCGGCCCTTTCAAGATGATAAACTGGAAACGAAACGTCGCTCCCAGGGTCATAAGACAATACGTGACAGAATTTTATCAAAATTACCCAATATACTGCGAGGTTTCCTAGATGCCATTGCCGCTCAAAAGTAATCCACCAGCTCTGAAGTGTGTGCCATACTTATTGTCACCGTCTATACCTTTGAAGGAGCGAATGTGTCAATCAGGCAAGCAGCTTTCATTCAGAGAGACGTGTTCTCTATTCCCATTAACGATAATTCCCCTTTACCATTATCCCAGGGCGGTAACTATAAGAATCCCACCACCGGTGGTTTATTTTCGAATTTGCCACCTTGATAACCATTGAACGCAGGCGTCAAGAACTTGGGGTGGCTAGGTTATGGTACTGAATGATGCCAACATTTGATGGGATTGTCACACATGCCAATAAGTACTATTGAACCGAGACCACCACTGCGTTGACAAACTACCCTGAGACCAGTGGTTCAGTGGAAATAACGCCGAAGATAATAGTATTGATACTGCTGTGCTTGTGCCTATGTGCAAGTAGTTGGTGGCCGTTCCTTGTGGAAGCTGTTCAGCTGGAGGAAAGCCGAATTCGAGCCAGATTCTTCATCGCGCTGTTATCATGGTGCCCTAAAGCCTTGGTTCAGACCGTCGTTCTGCTTGAGTTATGGTAGAAAGGAACTCTAATCAATTTGGGAGCAATATGTATGGAGCAAATTTCAGAGAAAGCAAGATTGATTCCTATTGTTCCAGCAGCTGAAGAGCAGGAAAAAAGAGATGAGATTCAACGTGAAGAGAGACCCACCTCCAGAGGAAATCAAGCATTATACGTCAACGTGACACAATGTTGAAGTTGAACTGTGCAGTAAATGAAGCAATTGTCCAGTCTCGATTGATAATGGTTTTGAGCAGTTGCCACTAGCACTTATGCCTTACGATACCATAAGTTAATGCCCCCCGGCAAAACATACAGACGATTTTGGTACTCCTTACAAAATCGCATATTATTCTCCGAAATCAAAACAGTGGCTGATACCACTCAACCACAAAAAATGCAACTCTATTTTATCAGAAAATTATTGTCTTGTTCCACTATCAAAATGGACTTTCTTCGATCGCGAGTATATTAGTCATTAAGATGCCAACCATCGAAAATCGGCTTAGTGTTAGGGATTTCGAGAACCTTTCGGTCGGTGCAACACACCATTGTCACAATTATGTGATACACAAGCTATACCCCACGTAAAAGCGGTGAGCGCCTCACGAATTCCTTCTTCGAGCTATATAGCCCATAAAACATGTAACGCAGTCGTTTGTTTTACTAGAATCAACACTCAAGCTGTAAACTGTAAACAAGATTTACAGTTGTATGGTTTGAGTGCCTTGAAAAAACCGTACAAGACTGAAAACCAATAAAGTTTACAAGACTCGATGTGATTAAGAGACTTGAATCAATAATCATCATATGTTGGAGAACTGCCGATGTGAAGCTTGCGTATAGGGCTCTTGCAAACAGTAGAGAGTCGCACATCTTATCCCATAGACCAAAACAGACGCCGCCAAGCTCGACAAACCCTCGGATCACCCTCGGTTTTCGCGAACAAACCCACACATTGCGAGTAATTTCACCTGATACCGAGGGTCACGTGACCTTACTTCCGACCACATACATGACAGTAACTAGGAGATTGACTTAGTGCGAACATTAAACCCTCGCTTGGGCGTTGATGTTAGAACCAAACACTCGCTTGGAGGTCGGTGGTGCAGGCCAGGTGACGCCTTCTCGGGACCACACCCCTGGTGCTTTGACGTCGCTTAGTNGGAGGTCGGTGGTGCAGGCCAGGTGACGCCTTCTCGGGACCACACCCCTGGTGCTTTGACGTCGCTTAGTGCGGCCGAAGGGACTCACTACCATCGTATATAGTTTATAATACATGAACATCTACTTGCCACACTTGTAGGGGCTGCTTCCCAACCCCCCGTCGACGTCATTGTCGACCCCCTTCGACCCCCGTCGACGTCATTGTCGACCCCCTTGGACGTTCGCGCGCCGCGAAGACTCGGGNCGTCATTGTCGACCCCCTTCGACCCCCGTCGACGTCATTGTCGACCCCCTTGGACGTTCGCGCGCCGCGAAGACTCGGGCCCGGTGCAGACTCGGGCCCGGCGCAGACTCGGGGTCGGCGGAGTCGCAGTTGAAACAAGTGGGGTCAGTGGCGCCAGTGCGACGGCGCGACAACACCGTCGACACCAACTCCACGGGTTTTCAGGATATCGAGGCCGGGGAAGTGGGCAGCAACACCTACAGCGACGCTTATGTAGGCACCGATGCCAGCCGTCGTAAAACGGTGCCGCAATCTGGCATTAGCTGCCCGCTCCTGCACGGCTGCTTAAGCCCGGGCCAGGGGGCTATGCCGCTCGCGCTGGGGCCCCCCGCATTGCCAGCGCTTCCTGCACAGGGCCCCGCCAGGTCCATAAAAAGCGGTGGCTCGCACCTGGGAAAAAATTCATCTGCTCACCACTTCATGGTCGGCTGATTACTAACTAGCAAAAGCCAAAGCGGCATCCACCCTCGGGCCGGATGCGTGGTGCCCAGTCGCCGTCCCTGGTTTGTGGCCCGTCGAAACTAAACACTTTGACGGGCAGCCGCCGCCTCTT